GTTCAACCTCCCAAAAAGTTATAATTAGGGCATCCAAAATGGCTACATCAGACAGGTGTCACCTGCAATCCTATGCAGGCAAAGACAGCAGGCATGGAAAACATTTATTAAGTGTGTGGCTCTGAGGACAGTGAATGTGTTTTACAATCCATGACTTACCAGAATTCAACTTTCGGTGCTGGGTTTTTAAAAAGACCATTCTCATGGCTTTAACACAGTGGGATAAAGGAGATTGGTTCTTCACCATGTAACACTCCCACAGATAACAGTAGAAGTACAGATCCACTAACCAACTTTCTCTGTGAAGACAGCACAATTTTGTAAAAATCAGGAATACAGAAAATAAACAGATGGTTGTGAAGGAACATGGCTGCCTCCTGACACAGCTCATGGTGATGTATCATTCACATAATAATTCTATGCCGTCTTCACAACGAAGGTTGACTACAGTGTACAACAGCTGTCTTTGGGAATATCATGTGGGGAGGACCCAATCTCTTCCAAGGCTCCACACTCCTAGCATCGACTGGCGGAAAAAAACCATCCAATGGGGAAACTGAACCCTAGTTTTTATCCCATTAAAAGACATTGGAGTTACCAGCTCACTGGGTCAGGTCTAACCACCAGCTGTGAGAGAGGTGGGATTCTGTCCCACCAGCTATGTTTGTGTGGTCATCCAGTCTTGTATAATGTCCACCACAGATTTTTTAAAGGGAATCTCTACGGCATAGTGGTCAACCTGTTTGCCTCATGCTCTGAAGGCAGTGAATTTGTTTTATGAACACATTCTGCAGTTCACGACTGCAGTTTTTACACATAACCTGGGAGATCACCACTGGAGCTATAGGGTTCATGCTTTGTGGGATGCACATGGCAGGCAGCTCGCTATTCTGTGGAGAGAGATAACCCAGCATATCAAATGTTCACGGCTGTTGTTTTGTTTCTACAAGTATTAATACCGTACAACTCTAATGTTGTATACATGTCAATCATAGATACTGACAAAAGATTAGAATAAGAGTATAAACTTTAGAGATATGGAACGCTAAGCATCCCATGGACGATCATGTTCATGCAAGAGGCACATTCCCAAAGATAGTACTCACATGAGGACAAGGTCTGCTTGGAAATGCACATCTCCTCTCACAGTAGAGTAAATTCTTGTCTACTTAGCTCCACTCTAAACACAGTATAGATATTCCTGTGTACATAACTTCTCTACAAGTTCAGTATAGATATTTCTGCCTACCCAGCTCCTCTACAAGTGCAGTATAGATACTTTTGTATACTTAGCTACTCTCTAAAAACAATTAAGATATTTCTGCGTACTTAGCTTCTCTACAAGTACAGTATAAGTATTCGTGTCTACATAGCTGCTCTCTAACTACTGTACAGATATTCCTGTGTACATAGCTTCTTTACAAGTACAGTACAGATATTCTTGTCTACATAGCTAAATTCCCCCCCCCCCCAGTATAGATATTCTTGTGTATATAGGATTCATATATTTACTTTGTGAGTGAAAATATCCACCGTACCCAAAAGAAAGCATAATTTACAAAATCTAGAACATCAGTCTTTGGTGAGGAACTCCTTATTGACCAGTGCATCAAATCTGCTTTAATTATAAAACTAAATATCATCATCAGTACCTTACTGATTGGGGTGGGTGATCATGCCTTTCCATAACCTGCTATCTCCATAAGCATTTATCCGTTTATGTGCTGACACCCCTCAATGCCATGAAAAAAGGCTGTCAAGAATCTAATATACATTGACAGTTTAGTCAGAGGAAAGGCAAGAAGGACACATAATAAAACTTCCACTGGTACCACCAGCATTGGAACTCTTTGCTGGCTGCTAAAGATGAGGATGGAGCACTCACAGGACTGCCCTGAGTGCTGTCAGTTCTCAACTCTGCTCAACACATTTACATTTGTAGGTACATCTTGGAATACAAAACGGCTGCTGCACAGAGGTAGAAAATACAAGTTAGGCTGTAATCTCACTGCATTCTGTTGCTGATTTCTTTGTCACACGTTTTATAATCTTGCCAGTTTTTAGCCATCATGCAGATTTTAGAACTGCAATTACTCTTTCAATTAGCCTCACATCAGCGTGGTCATATGCTGTCTGAAATTGCAAGAATTTTGGGTAATTATCTTGAAGCTTTATATATATTTATATATATACACATACATACATACACATACACTCCAGAAGTTAAATTCCATATAAAACTAAAATAAAATACAATTTTTAATTTCTCCTTCCTTCTCAGGTAGTCAGTTATACTCCGACTCTGAAGGAAATAAATTTTACAATAAACTTATTGGGAGGCAGTGGATCTATTGTATTTGTCCCCAAAATGGGGCCCTGCTACCTACATCGGCAGCCTCTACTTTCAGTGTGTGCCACTGAAATAAAAATAAGGTCCCGGTCAGTGTGATCCTGTTATGGACACATAAGTGCCTCAGTATTTCTTTAATCTGTCATAAAAAGGTCAAACATAAACCCCAACCTCACCTATTCAGATGTGATAACAGTAACAGCTAACTTCTCGAGACCAGCAACAATTTAATAAACAAAAACATCTTACATTAGCCTAACTGCAGTGAACAATGCTCCACTCCCACAAGCATCCTCTCATACAGGCAAAATTCTGAACAATCAACCACCCATGAAAACCCTTTCACTGTAAACATATTAACTTTAAGGACAAAACATATTCTAAATTTTCATTCTCTAATTTGTAGGAAGCAATGGCAAACTACTGAATATGAAAATGCCTTAAATGCCTAAAAATTCCATTGAATAGTAGTAGTAAACTTTACCCCACCAGGACATCACACAAGTGATAAATACCTTATGACACAAAGTGCCACCATGCGGTTGAGGATCACCCATGGAGAGGTCCAGGAAACCGCGTTCAGCCATTAGGCCACATTTAAGGCCTGGCTATACTGGGGCTTCAAAATAACAAAAAATTGCACCCCACATGAGGACGACAAGTTTTAGATTCCAGTGAAGCAAGAGATAAAAAGAAAAGATAACAAAGTTGGAAAGCATTCATGTTGAGAAAACCTGAGAAAAATATAACTAGAAGTTCTTTACACTGGAACCCACAGCAGCAGAGAAATAAAGGCAGACTAAAAATCACATGGAGTAGGGAATTAGAAAGTGAAGTTAAAATGATGTGAAGGAACATGGGAGGAACTGCATGCGATAGCAGAAGATAAGATGACTTCATATGAGCTGGTTGATGGCCTTGATCGATCAGGGGATAAAGAACAAAAAAAGAAGGAGAAAATCACAAATAGCCAACAAAACATGGGGGTGGCTTGTGACAATCTATAAACAGAGGTATGTACACATGCATTTTATGGAAAACTGTTGAAAGGTGTGAGCTTTAAATGAAGATAAACGGCAAACACACATTTACATAACTGCTGGCCAAAAGTTTAAGACCACCTAGTCACCTAGGAAATATATGATTTTCCACAATATTATGGAATACTGCATCATGTGATATTTTAGGGCAGAATTAGGACTAAAATGATTTCCTTCAATGGGCCCTTAAACAGCTATAGATAAAGACAGAGAGATAAGTACTGGACTGCTTATCCCCATGGCATGAGTTGGCCAAGAACACAGACTTGATTTTGATAATTATCTCTGGTGTACTATGTTTGCATATGCTATTGACATGACATATATTGATTATGTAAATGTGAATTATATTAAAACCTACTAATTAGTGTAAAATACACCCACACATAAAGAAAAAACTTCAGTAAATATTTCGGTTATGTAGAACCATAATCCCGGTCAACCCAGTCTAAAATTGGTGCGAGGTAATGTCCTGCAAGTAAAGGCGACTGACAGGATGCTGACCACATCACCCATCACGCATCAACTGGTTCATAAAAATATAAATCTAGCACTAAAAGTAAATGCTAAAGTCAAGTCACCAAAGGGGTCCCTTCTTTGTATTTTTTTATTTATAAATATATAGAACCACAGACTTCACTGTGAGCTGTCAATAAGCATAATATACAAAGGAATATATCCTATTAAAAAGGTATATTCTTCTTAGCATTTATTGGCTGTAAACTCCAATGGAAAGTTCTGGTTGTTTATCCACTTCTGGATTTGGTCTTGTTCCAGAACTTAAGTGTTGCAGGCACATCTGTGTTACAGATCTGGCTTACTTGAATGCAGGCTGTTGGTTCCTTGCATCTCAGTCAGATGCACTCAGCCTTAAAAGGAAATTTCCCTAGTTAAGTCAGTTTTCTGACATACTTGTTAGAGTGGCAGTGAGTCAATTCTTTTTTCCCTCCCTAAAATGGGGCCTGAGAATTCAGACGGGGAAAAACTGTGTATGATGCCCGCCTAATAATCTTATAGACCAAATGGAACTCATTGGTCAACATCCCTTCAGCTGCCTTAACTTTTCAAGTCATTTCCTGATACCAATTTTAAGCTAGGTCAACCTGGGAGTCAAGGTCAATTGAAAAAAAAATCAAAATTAAAGAATTAAAAAATTTTTCATCCAAAATATACAGAGGAACAGAAACAACACAAAGTAAGATAATCAATGACATTCAAAGTAACAGAATCAGCACAAAGCAAGAGAATCAAAGACATACAAAGTAAGATAATCAGAAAAACACAAAGTAACAGAATAAAAGACATACAAATTAACAGAATAAAAGACATACAAATTAACAGAAGCAAAAACACATAAATTAACAGAACATATGACACACAAAGTTACAGAAGACACACAAAGTTTCAGAATCAAAGACAAAAAAAAAGGTAATGGAATTAATAAAAAGCATGAAATTCAAAGACATACACAGTAACAGAATCAATATAAAGAGAGTCAAAGACATACAAAGTAACAGAATTAATACAAAGTAACATAATAGACATAAAATAACATAATCAAAGACAAATTTACAGAAGCCAAGAAGAGGCTACAAATGAAATCTACTGACCTTTAGTAAATGTTTCTTCGCAATCTTCTAGAATGCTCTGGTTTTCTTGATGTTCTCCAACACTTTCCTCTGTGGGTATACTACAAGTTGATGTCTTGGGGAGGTTCTGCTTTTTCTTCACCTTATTCTGTTTGCCAGATGCCTGCCGAACATTGCTGGCTGCATCCTTCTGCTTTCCAGTGAGGCTGAATGAAGGTGAGGCTGGAGAATCTGAAATGCCTCCAATTTCTTCCTCCATTTCTCGAGCAGCCTGCTCCCTTTGAACAAACAGCTGGAAAGTGTTCAATAATAATATCTTTGTGAGGTTATTCAGTCCAAAGAGGTTCTTAAGAGACCAGGAATGAAAAGAGCCTTTTTAGCATAGTTCTTGGTGTTGCTGAAGCAAGCCCCTCTACCACTTCAAGACAAAGACATATTAGGGGGCCTGCATGGTGTTGAGGCATGGTGTCCGCCTCGAATGCTAGAGGTTCCAGGTTCAATCCCTGGTAAGGGCTAGGATTTTTTCAGATGGACTCGGACTTCTAGTAATTCCCCCTCAATCAAACACCCGTGTGCTTTGCTGCGCATGTATGAAATCTAAAAGAGTAGCCTAACAGCCCTGCTCTGGCAAAATTCGGAGTTAAAAATCTACCCAAAGTATTTCAGGTCCTGGCCGGTGCTACAGAGCCTGTGCATTGGGCTGAACTTCTTCGGACCCAGACTTGATTTAGAAGAATGGAGCACTTATGGGTTACTACCCGTGTGCCATGATGTTGATCCATCGTTTCAAACCTCAAACAGACAAAAACTCATTAGAGGGGACTAGTTAATCTATTGTTGGCATAGCTCTTGGTATTGTTTGAACATACAAGTACCTCTATCTCTTCAAGCTGAAGGGGACTAGTTAATATGTTATTGGCATAACTCATGGTGTTGTTTGAACACATAAGCCCTCTACATTTTCAAACCCCCAGGAACACTCAATTTCTGATCTTGCCTCCTCTTGAGTGCTGACCAGCATTAGAGGTCAGCTTTAGACTGGTCTGAAAAGGGGGAAATCATTGGACTACAGGTGACTGGTGAAGCCGTAAGGGTGCAATAATTATAACTTCTTTCAAGACTGACGGATTATCTGCGATCTGCCTTCCAAATTGAGATTTTAAAATCTTAGGATGGTATAGAGAACTTTATGTAGCAGCTTAGAAGGGACAAACCGATCAATTAAATGAACTAACTGTTGACTATGAAACAAAAAAATGATGATATAACAATGAGGCTGTGCAATGTCCCACAGGACTGACCAGAATGGCTAGCCTGGACTACAAATACTTGAAAAAGTCAGATATTTTGCCGAAAATTGAAAAATATCAGAATCATGTTGCTGTAAACATAAACAATGCAATTACATCCTCAGATGAATGCTGAAGAAGAACAAGAAGAGAAGAGATTTTTGACAACACACAAACTGTTTTCACATGAGGACCAACAGGAAAGCATTGTCACAACTATGATGCAGAAGTTCAAGCCATCAAGATAGCAGCAGAGAAACTGCTAAATATATGTTATATTTCTGACAGATGCGGGAGTGGCATTTCAGGCACTCCAGTCTGGAAAATTACCTGGGCTATTGGTTTAAGGTAATTATGCAATGGATACCATCACACTGTGGAGTTCCCGTAAATGAGAGAGCTAATAAAGTAGCCAAGGAAGGTGCAAATAAAAAATAACCTGAAGTACTAGTGTGTTATCAACGGAAGAAGAGAATAATAAAATCAATCAGAAAGCCACCAAAACGGGCACAAGATTACCATATTATGGACAGACCAAAGCAAGTCATTATTCACTTTAGAACAGGACATGATCGACTTCAAAGCTATATGTACACAAATTTTATATTGGCATTGGCATATCAGTCATGTGCACATGTGGACTGGTACCTGAGACAACAGATCATGCCCTCAGAGACTGTCCCAAATACAACATATCAAGGACAAAACTTGTGGCAAAGAGAAACAACGGTGCAAGCCAAACTATACAGGTCACTGAGTGAATTACAAAAGACAGTAAAGTTCATACTAGAAACAACACTGCAGGTTTAGATATTCTATTTCAAGCAAACGAAAGAAGAAGAAGAAGAAGAAAACATGATTGATAGATATTATATTTGTACTCACTTTAACAACTGCACTGACAGCGCTCATAATTCTGGTTCTGGCCAGTGACCTTTGTGCCTGGCTGACTGGGATTCTCATTTCCATGAACATTTGCCGATTTCCCTCGTGGTGTTCAACGAGGTTTGTCAAAAGAACCAGACACTGAAAGGAAAAAAGCAGTGCACAGTGATGACAACTCTCAAAAAAAATGTGAAGCATATGTCATTAATGATAAAATCAGGAATGAGGTTATAAGATTTTTTTAAGTCTGCACATTACCAATTCTAAATTACATATAAAGACAGCAAATAAAAGGGTTTGCTGACTCATAATACAGGGTGTCTTGTGACGCCAGATCATACAAGACATACTCCAAAAGAAGAGATGGACATACAGACCAAGATGGAAAGATAGCATCTGATAAACTCCACATCAGTACGATGTGTCCATATTCAAGACTGCCAGAACAGCAAGAAGCAAAACATTACATCTCCCTTGACCCCCAAACGGTACAAGATGAAGTAAAGAAGAAGAAACTTCTTCTTCTTCATGTTCACTGAGGGAAAATTTTTTTTTTTTTACAGCAGCCCTAAAAGGTCTACAATTATCTGAAGTATTATTTCAGAAATAATTTATGATGAAAATGGGAATTACAAACATCAAAAAGAGACAGTCATCCATTTCTGGTCATGTTATGAAAAGAAGGAAACTGGAAAATGTGACCACTGGAAATATCTGGGTAAAAAAAAAGAGACAGACAACATGAGATGATTCTTGAAAGTCCCCCGTGTGGGTTCCGGGGCCCCATTGTGGGGAAAACAAGAAAAGACCCACTGCCTCCCCAAAAGCATGTCGTAAGAGTTGACTAATTGGGGAGCTTCCTTTGAAGTCGGAGTGCATCTGCCGGAGAGGCAAGGAACCAACAGTCTGTATTCCAGAGAATGAGATCTGTAAAACTGATGCACACGCAACACTCAGGTTCTGGAGCAGGACTGCAGTTCAGTAGTGGATGAGCAACCAGAACTTTCCGCCAGAGTGTACAGCTGGTGAACACGAAGAAGAAGATTCTTGAAAGTCTGTTGACATGGCATGAAGGGGTGTGAGCACTTAAACTGATTCCTGCTGCTGAAGATGGCACACTGTGAAGGGACCCCAGCTGGCAAAACACTTGATGATGATGAATCAGGTATATAATGCTAGACTCATTTTTTTAAAAACCAATCAGTGGGTGATATAGTAAACATCATATCCACTGCCTTCAGTTCCACTGACATTACCTGGTATCCATATTTACCAGGTCGGTCTAGCAGCCAAGTTCAATTTTAAAAGAAAATCAGCCTCAATACAGATTCTAACCTAAGACCTTCTAGCCACTATAATACCCTGGCTTTTGGAAACCTCTGTACTTGCCCCAAATTAATACCACTGATTTTAAATTTATATTTAGGCAAGATCTGTTCCTTTGATGTGTCAGTGTTTGGAGAAGCAAAAACTTACTTGTACAGCCAGGTCAAATCTCTGCTCTACTGGGACACATGAGATGGTCGCAGTCAAACAGATGACAACAGTCTCCATTAGTGGCCCCACCTCAAGGCTGGCTGGTCCTGAAAGTTGAACCAAAACTGAGGTTACTTACTGGACCTTGTTTCATAGGGAAGAAAACCTTGTTCTTCTGTTTTTGCCCTGAAATCTTCTTCTAAGCGTTCACCAGCCATAAACTCTGGCAGAATGTTCTGGTTGTTCATTCATTTCTGGACTTTGGCCTCGCTCCAGAACTTCAGTTTCGCATGCACATACATTCAACAGATCTGGCATATTTGTTTGCAGACTTTTAGTTCCTAGCTTCTCAGGTTCATGACCTCCGACTTCTAACTAATTGCCCACAAAAAACATGGAACATAGTGTTGTCGTTTACAAAAAGGATGCAATATCTACACCTTTTAGCCCAGCATATCCGATTTCATTCAACCCTTACTGAGTCATTTTAGGACACGACTGTTAAGGGGTAGTGGGTCAATTCCTTTTCCACACAAAATGGAGTTCCAGAACCCACAGGCAGAAGAAAAATTTTCAAGCAGCAAGCCTTAAAATAAAAGGGGTCATACAGAAAACGCTTTAAAAAAAAGTGGAACAAAGAAGACAGAAACAATAGAATGCAAAATTTATTGCTTAGCATAATTCACTTTATCTCATCAGGGGCATACTACAGTAACAATTACATGAAGGAAGCAAATAACTGAATCCTTTATAAATGAAGTACAAATTCAACAACAATAGCGAAAATATGCCAGGCAATAAATTGTGCAATATATTGTTTGTGTCTTCTTTGTTCAAATTTACAATGGGGAAACATTGCTTTAAACAATCAAATAAAAAAAAATGAAGAAACCACTGGAATGAACTTCTTTTCTGTAAACAATAAACAAAAGTAGGTTTTGGGGGAAGATATAAGGAACTTCTGATGTCCTTTCTTATGTGTTACCTAAGTAGATAATTTCTTTGAGGCTGTTATTGATGCTGTCGTTCTATACTTTGCATGGCCTCCTCCCTTGCTTTGTGTTTATTGTACTTCAGTTGGTAACAGGGCATTCTCATCAGATGGACAAACCATCGTATCTGTTGCTCTTAATAAAGTGTACACTGTGGAACAAACTGACAGTTATAAAACCAGTTTAGCACACCGAGAAATTGTGAAAATCATGCAGTAAGAAACTGTAGCAAACAACGAAACACTGTTAAATCCAAGCTTACCAGTGCTATGTGTTATGTTGATCATTACCCTGAGAACAATTAACATACAGGACAGAACCGAATGGCCAGGCAAATCCTTCACTGCCTTGCTGTCTAGATTTTCTGGCAACTTGAAAGCAGGCAAACATAACTGACAAAGTCGCAATATTCTAGGAGAAATGAAAAACAAGGATGAGATGAAATATTCAAGAGTTCAATGGCATTTAAAGTGATGGGGTATTAAAATAACTTGAAGTTATCTCAGGATATTTACAGCAAACATTTGTAAAAAATTTCTTTCTCTACAAGTTAGCTTTGTGACTGCACATGCATTGGTTTCACACAAAATTAATATGGTAGGCTCCTCTTGGTTTCTTCTTCTTCTGCACATTTGTAACGATGCCAGTGACTGGCATTTGTAAATTATTTTTTTTAAACTGTTTTCTTCTCCTGCCAATGGTATTATTCTTGTAGGTCTTCATAACAAGAACTTAAAGTGATCAACCCTGAAAACTAGAAGTGTGATGATAAAAGGCATAAAAGAAATGGAAAATCTATGCTTATAACAAAACACTTACTCATTAGACTAGAGGATAGGCAAATATTTATGCGAAATAATTTAATAAATAATGATACATTATTTTTTTTTTAAAGCCATTTTAGTTCTTCATCGTCTTTCACAATTAAAATCAGATCAACAATATGAACAAAAAAGGAGATACAATATAAAAAAGAAAGAAGCTACAATATGAACAAGAAAGAAAATATCTGAAGATTACCTGCTACAAGACTGTAGCAATACAGAGTTTCTGTATGACAGCAAGTAATTCTGGTTCTCAGAGTTCATGTAACTGATCTGCAATTCAGATAAATGTTTGATTTTAAGTCAATATATTGTTAAAAACAAAAACAATAATCTTTATATTTAAAAATCAATGTTTGTGTGTTTGTTTGCCCCTTATAGACTCGGAAACTACTAAACCGATTTAGCTGAAATTTTCAGGATATGTTTGTTTTGATACCGGATGTTGAACCATCATGGTTTGAAATTCAACCTGTCACTGTTAGAGATAGGTGACCACAATTTAAACCATAATATTCGAAACTAATATTTATAATTTTAGTGATTTCTAATTATAGCCACGTTAGTAATTGCGTATGCGCCGTAGTCAGAACGCAAGGCTTCCACCATTCGCCGGTGAGTTACTTGTAGCCAACGCCTTCTCTAATACATAGAGTAGGTCGTGGTACAGCAAACAAGACTACTCTATATTTGCCACAATAACCATATTAAACACGATTTCTATTTTCTGTTTTTTTTTCAAACAACCTTAGATGGGGGGTGGGCATCAAGGACTATCTCGACGTCGGCACAGACATTGACTGCGACATTAACTTCATTAACCGTGTTAGACACGTGCGATTTCTATTGTTGTGCCGTTTCATTAATATATCTGGAGTATCTGTCTATGAGAAAACAATTGCCTGCGGTTTTGAGTTGTGTTATAATCGGGACACAGTAGTAGGGACACACATTTCTAATAGTTAAGTTTTCTTTTTGTTGATCCGATTAAGTGGCTGCTTGGTCGAATGGTTAGAACACTGGGTTCCTGTGCGGGAGACCAGGGTTCGAATCCGCAGTAGTAAATTTTTTTTTTTTACCCCGGACTAAAATAATATCCTTACCTCCTCTGTCGTGGTGACAGCACTAGCCATGTTGCCTTAATACTTTTAAAAAAAAAAAGGCAAGTAAATGGGTAAACCATTTGATAATTAAATTTGACCATTTCGCATACTTATGATTGCATTTTTAAACTTTCCGATTGCATGGTTACGCTGAAATTTCACAGATTTCCATTTATTTTCATTTAGATTTAGTTATTTCATCTGCGTTGGAATTTTAAGCTGTGCTGTTTACCATGGTGTTCATTTCCTAATTATGGTGTTTTTTTCCTGTGTTCATTTGCTTTTCAAGTGTTTTTTTTTCTCCCAACTACTTCAATGAGGGAAAGAGTTGTCTGTGAATTAAGGGGGGGGGGGGGAGGGGAGGAGGGGCGCAAACTATTAACTGAGAGAGCTTTAGGTCACAGTAACTGATTTACCCACTTAAAGTAGCAGCAGCAGTAATAGTTGTGGTTGGGCTGTTACACCATAGTGCTCTAATGTGAAGACCGCCGGTAAGGTTATGGTGTTCTTCTGTCGGGAAGTGAAATTATACATCCTAACCTGACCAGTCTGTGGCGACAGCACTAGCCATGCGGAACCTAATCTTCTGGCTCACGACTCTCTGTCTACTCCGATAGTAACACAGATAGCAGTGACATTATTTTAGCTACTGTGGTGGTGGTCGTGGTAGTAGTTGTACTGGTACTTGAAGGATGATGTGGTAAATATTACACTAGCCCCATTTCTACCTATTACAATTTCTGCTCCCCATTTTAGTCCAGATGGACAGGGATGTCAATGTCAGTTACAGTAACAACAAAATATCGCCAGGTAGTGATTTTCAAATCCTTCGAAGAGGGAGAGAGCAGTAGTCGGTGGAAGAGGGGAGGGGAGGGGGTAATGTCTTAAATTTAAGAGAACTTAAAGAGCTTTACACGTGATTTTCAAGTTCTCATTACCTAATTTGTTTATATTTTACTAACGCTACCTCCGCTTTTCTATTTTTTACGACTTACTTGTTATTCACAAGTACAGTTGCAGCTTTACTTCCGTCCCCTATAAAAATACAAACAGCTTTAGCATGTGATAACCAAATAACCATTTTTGTTACTGTGCTAATAACACGATTTAAACGACCACTAATATAAAGACACAATTATAAGGTGCGTGTTCTAAAGTTGGAAAACCAGACTATCTCTATATCTGTGCAGAGAATTATTGCGACATTAACTATATTAGACACGTGCGATTTCCATTGTCTTTATTTTCCAAAAACCTTTGATGAGGGAGAGAGTAGTAGGTGGATTTAGTTGTGGCAGTGGTGGGGGGGGGGGGAGTGGTTCAAAGACTATCTCTATATCTGAGCAGACAATGATTGTATTAGACACGTGCGATTTCTATTTTCATTCATTTCCATTTAGCCAAACTATGCCACAGCAACGCATGGCCGGGTACAGCTAGTATATAAATAAAATAAAATGATAGTTATAAAACTAAATATATTATTTACCATGCATTTGATTTTTAACCTACAGGGTCAAAGGAATAAAGACTAAAAACCACATTCAGAAAGGAATTAGAGCGTGAAGTGTAAAAGATAGGGAGGACAGAGGGTGAGCTGCATGTGATAGCAAAGGATAGGATGACTTGCAATTAGTTGGTTGATGGCCTAGGCTTCATTGGGGAATAAAGTGCAGAGGAAGATGTGTGTTTTGGTCACAGGTTTAGGTCTAGTGCCAAATTTCCAGTATGCCTTATTAAGCAAGTTACAGGAAATCACTTAATAGCAACAACAACAAATGCAATTTGGTGTCAACGACAAGATATCAGCTTACATTTTCTAAGACCCTGAGGCAGCGAATAAGTTTCCTCAAGACAGAAAGTGACTTCTGGATATTCCCTGATAAATCTTCCGGCAAATTCTTCTCACAGAATCTCACTGCAGAATTATAAAACAAAAGCATTATAGTGACATGGCAAAAAGGTAAATGTCATCCCATGGCGGATGCCACTGTTGGGCTGTTAAGAGTTACAGCGTGGTACAAAAATAAGACCCAACTTAAAAATAAGCATTAGAATGATTTTTCAGAATGTTCATAATACAAGCCCTAGTTAAGATCATTCAATAGTAGTCTGATGAAACACACAAAGAACTTACCTAATTATAAAGTAATGAATGCAAAAAATAAATATAAACATTATTATTTAGATTAATGCTTTAAATATTTGTTGATATAAATTACAATGAGGTATTGATGAATACCCATGATGGTGCCTTTAGACAATACAATGTAACAACTGTGCAGAAGTACTGCAAAACATGGTGACACTCCATTTTTGAGTAATGGAATATTTAAACACCCAATTCTACACTTGAACAGATCATTTTTAACAGCTGACTAGAATCTGCCATAAATACTTACCAGAATCCACAATATGGTCTAAGCCACCAATAGATCTCAGCTCTTCCTTAAACCCTTCTCCAGCCCGTCTTGAGGTCAAACTCAGTAACGACTCTAGTGCCAAACTACTTGTCTGTAAAAATGGAGAGAAAAAACGACAGAAATACTGCAAGTCAAATATTCCGTTTACATGCAACTGAAGTCAAAAGTAAACTAAAGGACCCTTTTCACAGTCAGTAGCACAACAGGCATATGATGCAAGACTTATTTTTATAGACCAATTGGCACAAGGCAGCTTCTTTCCCTTCTGCAAAGTTCTCTCAAGCCCTTGTATGCTGGTTACATCCAGTGCTGCAACATCGCCAGCATGGTTTTCGGCATCATTCAATATCATGCCATTGTACCCAGCATCGTTCGACATCATCCCAGCCATCTTTACTTGGTACCCATTTTAGGCTAGGCTGACCTAGCATCCAAGGTCAATTTGAAACCAATCCTCCCCCTGTTGGTTCCAGGACTTCATTTAAAGGGAGCAAAAGAACAGGCCCCCTGTTTCCCTAACAAGCTGGTCATAAAAGCAGACTAATTAAGGTACATCTGCTTGAGAGGTGAGGAAACAACAGTCTGCATAACAGTAAGCCAGAACTGTAAAATAGATGTGCATATAAAACTCAAGTTCTGGAAACAAGACCAAAGTCCAGAAGTGGACAAATAACCATAATTTTTGGCTGGAGTTTTCAGACTGTGAATGCTAAGAAGAAGAAGAAGAAGAAGAAGGAGAAGGAGGAGGAGGAGGAGGAGGAAGAAGAAGAAGAAGAAGAAGAAGAAGAAAAAGAAGAAGAAGAAGAAGAAACAAATCAAAGACCTTCTGGCTGGCAGGCAAGCTTCTAGCCACTATCAACCAGGGCTCCAATGTGCCACTGAGGTGCTATGGAAATATTCAGTTATTCTACAACTACTCATTAGCACAGAACTAGTGAAATATAAAGAAAGAGTCAGTGGCTAAGACCCATGGGACATACTAAAGCAGGACAAGCAGGCAGTAATCATATCAGGCTCCACAAACACGTTTCAGAAATTCGAAACAGACAGTCTCCACTATAAATAGGTAGACAGCATTTGCAAGTCGCACTTCACCTCCATCATCTGCATCTACACACCTAGACATGCCGGGGTAAACAGTATTGAACAAGCAGATCAACTGGCAAGAGATGCACAAATTAATGCAGGAAGACATATGGGCAGAGCTGGCATCATCAACAAGTGCTAAAAGTCAACAACTGGCCAACTACAAAACACAGCACTCACTGAGACAACGGGGCAAGTATACAGGGTACTACATCACCACAGCTCTCTAGTATGTTGGAATGTTAAACAGTCAGTCAGTCAGGTACCATCTCCACAATGAAGACTGGCTGCGATGGATCTTCAACACTCTGCCACTTGTCTTGGTTGTACACTCTCTCAGACTGCTGTTTGTCCATCTCTTAACGTTGCCCTTCGACATAAATCCTTGTCTACCTCTTGTTCTCTTGCCTTCAACATTTCCCTCCAGTATGATTTTCAAAAGAGTGCTGTCTTTTAAAATGGTCTCTTTTTTATTTATTTCAGTAACTCTCTTTTCATTCCCAGCCTCTCCAGAACGTCTATATTTGATTCTTTTTGTTTGCATGACACAGAACCTGCATATCTTCATTTCTGGAGACTGAGTTCAATCTCCTAACTGCTTGTTCACTGTCCAAGTTTCAGCTACACAAAGCCCTACTTGAATATGCTACCTATCAATCAATAATTTTCCAGCTACAAACCACAGTACTTACTGAGACAAAATCCAGATCCACCTCTCGAGAATATGTTTCCTGCAACAACCCAAGTAGCTCCATTACCTTCTGCCGAGTTCTTTCAAGCCCTTGCAGGCTGGTCACACCCAGTGCTGTAACATCGCCAGCATCGTTCTCATTGAGTTTGAGCATGAGGCTGAGACTGTGATGGTCAAGATCCATGCTGAGTCGGTCCCGACTCAACACAAACATTAAGGCGGCAGTGCTCAGGGCCAAGTTCTTGAAGACAATATAAAAGATCAAGATAATTGTATGTCAGATTTTCTTTAGAGGTGTGACAGTACTTGACATATAAACATATGAGAAGCAGCTGGAAGAAATGTTAAGAATGCTGGAGTCTCGTGCAGAGAGCGAGGTTGAAGTCTTCTGTCTCTCAGTGTGGGTTCTTGGGCCTTATTTGGGGGGAAAAGATTAGGACCTCCCCCCCCCCCTTCCCCCCAGCATTTTGTAAAAGGTAACTAATTTATGGTGTTTCCTTCACAGTTGGAGCTCATCTGCTGGCAGGCAATAACTGCCTGAGATAGGGTTAAAAGATGGAGGGGGAAACTGTCAATGAGTGGAATAATATGAAAAAAGACAAAGCACAGAATAATAAGGACTAAGAATATGACACTGCAGTTGATATGGAGGACAGAACTGTAAAAGAGTGGAATAAGAACCCAAAAAAAGACAATGTACCGAAGAAAGAAGAATACAAATATGGGAAACTAAATGAGAAATAAGTGAAATTTATGAGCAGTCTGATGAAAAACATGAGGAGTAGGTTATTGAGGACACCCTTCTGTCTTTTCAAGCATTTATTTTGTGTTTTAGAGAAGCATGGGAATCAGCTGTAAGTAAGGCCAGAGATAGTCTCTCTCCTCCATAGCCCAAAGCCTGGGTAGTATTGTACAGCCCATGTGTTGCCCAAGCAGCATGATCCCTCCCTTGGCCTGCTTTGTTTACTTCAAAGGAAAGCTAATACTAATAAGAAACCAACAGTGTGCATACAAATAAGCCAGTTTTGTAAAATCAATGTTCATGCAAAACTCAAGTTCTGGAATAAGACCAAAGTCCACAAGTGGACAAACAACCAGGATTTCTTCGCTAAGAAGAAGAAGAAGAACCCTGAGTAAGGTTATGAGTATTTTCTGTTAAAAAAAAGGGGTAAAAAAATAAATTATAGCCTGTACAGTCTGTGGAATGCACTAGCCATGCAGCTCTAAATCCTCAGGATCAGAGACCCCCTGCCTACACCTCAAAAGTGGCAAATATAAGCAGTAATGGCAAGAGTATTAGCCCCTCCCATATCCCACATGCTAGCCCACCCCGGCACAACTAACTGTCCTTCTTAGGACGGTTTCCCCCACCCAGCCAACAGGACGAAACCAGCAGCTAATCACAACCAGCCAAGCCGCCATGTCAACCCACCGAACCAGCTCACCGGCATCCCACAGCTCGCGAACAGCCAGGCATGATGTCGACCGCCAAATCTACTCCCACCCACCCGATCCAGGCCATCCCAGGCAGTCTCTACTAGTCCTTTTCAGGACTAGTAAATTTCCAAATCCCTACTGCAGTAACATGCAAGGAAAATCAAAACCGCACAGAAACGTTAACGCAGGTAAAGCAAGGCCCCAGAGGCACGCTGAAGCGTTAGATTTTTTTTTTTTTTTTTAAATCTTCAAGTCCAGTCAAGTATTAGATTGTTTAATGTAACCAGCTTTCTTCCTCATAACATTTCCTGGACACACCCACACACACAAACACACAAAAATAAAACCCTTTGAAGTCAAGAGTGTCATGCCTGTTAGGGATGGAAACAACAGACTGCACAAGTCTGTAAAATGGATGCACATGCAACACCTAAGTCCTGGAGCAATGTAACAGAGTCCAAAAATTATTTAACTACCAGGACTTGCCACTGAAGTTAACATTAATCATGTTCCAGTGTGGATTAAAAAATTTTCTTCATTTTAAAGCCCCACCCCGCCTGTAGTCGGGGGCCCTAATATAGCCTAACAGTTTAATGGGGTTTCTGGGACTTGTGCCCGGGTGAGCCTCAATTGAATGGTTTCACTCTGTGTCATCAGGTTTTGGTCGCTCGCTGTACAGTCCCGATGGGGCTGAACAACACCAACTAAAGTTAACAACAGGTTAACACAAACAAACAAGAACATACAACAAAACAAAATAGAGAGACTGAAGGAAATAACTAAAACTATCAAAATGTAAAGTATACCAAATGAAGAATAAACAGCATGATGAATTACCTGCAGTAATAAATGCAATCAATCTGGCAGTATCACTAAATACTTACTGGATCTGAACAAGCATCTTCCAGAAGGTTGAAGATTCTACTGATGGTTCCATGAACTCTCATGTGCATGCGAAAAGCTGGTGAGATGCATTTGCTGGCCAGTTGAAGGCAACTAAGGAAGAAATTTAAGCCCATTAAGTGATATATTTTATGGTAAATTCTATTGAAAAATTACCTAAATGGTAAGTAAAACTCATCAGTTTTTCTATGAAACATAATCATGAAAGAGAAAATGAACATCATAGCTAGAAAGCATTTATCAGCATTTAAAAAACAAGGACATAGATACAGCTGCATATAATGGTAGCTTTTTGGGAAAAGTCCACTAACTATCAAAATACCCCCAATATTTCTTCTACAGAATATTGAGTAATTCATCACCATCACCCAGTAGCTTATTCCTTGCAGCCCTTCCCTCCCCACAACTTTCACAATTTCTTTATATCAAGGGCCAGATGCCCCATATCTTTACAGTAGATGTTAATGAGTAAATTAACTATCACATTCCTAATTCCTCTGCACTGTGATTTCCCACTCCTCCAACTCCAAAAATGTCATCTTCTATAATTATTTTCTCCACACTTTTCCTGCCCAAAATACCTAATTTTCCTGAATTTTATTAATCTTAGTAAGCTGTCATCTTCTGTAATGAGCTCTTTTTGTTCTCTTCTCTATCCAGGTGTTTAAATTATGCAGCTCACTCCAGAAACTTTTTTACTTCTAACTTTATTTCTTTTCGCCAAGTTGTTTTTGCCTGTGTGTGGCCTGCTTTGTTGTTTAAGGAGGCCAACACTCCATTAGGGAATAAAGGGGAGAAGAAGAAAAAAAAATATCTGATAAGACTAGAGTACACAATTAACTGTCCCACTAACCTCAGACAACGAATAGTATTAGAGTTGGTCTCCTTTAAACTGTCTAAGAGATAATCAATCTCCTTGATAAAATCATGGGTCTCTCCCAGCTCCTGGACTTCATGTGTCTGTCTCACATTCTGAATCACTGTATACAACTGAAATACAATTAGATATATGTGAATATGTGTTTTAATATTTTAGGTAAACTAAGGATGCCTTTGCACAGGACAGAATGTTATGTTATCACAATTGACGTCACTGCACACTGGGCATTCTCATGCGTGCTCAGTCCTCCAAGGTACTTCCCACGGGAAGTCAGGACAGAATAGAATGGAGGACTAGACGGCAAGAACTGTATAAAATATAACTGAACAAAGGATGATGATGATGAAAGGATGTCATGAGAATCACTAGTCATATTGCGACTCAAAGGGTGACGTGGTCAATTTTAGGCTGGTCACCCGTACTTCCCAGAACCTTTCCTTTACCCACTTAGGGTTTTGTTAAAGTTTTTTAAAAATCTTCCTTGATAGGGTTTTGAACCTATGACCACCAGGGTGGCAGGCAATAACTGCCTGAGATAGGGTTAAAAGATGGAGGAGGAAACTGTCAATGAGTGGAATAATATGAAAAAAGACAAAACACAGAATAATAAGGGCTAAGAATATGACACTGCAGTTGGGAGATAAAGTTGATATGGAAGACAGAACTGTAAAAGAGTGGAATAAGAACCAAAAAAAGACAATGTACAGAAGAAAGAAGAATAAAAATATGGGAAACTAAATGAGAAATAAGTGAAATTTATGAGCAGTCTGATGAAAAACATGAGGAGTAGGTTATTGAAGACACCCTTCTGTCTTTCCAAGCATTTATTTTGTGTTTTAGAGAAGCATGGGAATCAGCTGTAAGTAAGGCCAGAGATAAAGTTTCTCTCCTCCATAGCCCAAAGCCTGGGTAGTATTGTACAGCCCATGTGTTGCCCAAGCAACATGATCCCTCTCTTGGCCTGCTTTGTTTACTCCAAAGGAAAGCTAATACTAATATGTTTGGAACAAAGCATGATGCAAAATCCATTAGATCATAAGTGCAGTAATCTGTCTGGCTGCCTATCAGAGCTTCCCTCCTAGACCAGCTGCCTACCAACCAAGGCTAAAGGCCCTGTCAGGCATGCCATAACATGAAGTTCTCAGGTTGCATTTACTCTTTAAGGGTAAGGCTAACATCCTCCCCAGTGTGCTGATCTGTCTGAAGCCATTGGCACAATGTGAATGAAGGACAGCATGGCATACAATAAGATACACACACACACACTCAAAAAAAGATTATAAAATCTGCAGTAGGAGACAACAGAGGTATGTTGTATAAAGCAGTGACACATCAGGCATGTACCTCTTTGTGGCTTTTGCTGACTGTAAGTGTCGTGTATGCCTCATCATGTTCTCCCACAGGCCAGTGCATTTCTCGCTTCAGCTTTGGTCCTTCTTCAGGCTTCTGTATTATAACTACATCAGCATCATCTGCCTTCTTCTTCTTTCTCACAGTTGCTGTCTTCTCCTATGAACAAACATATGATTACATATGAAATTTATTGTTTATTCATATTCTCTCTTTTCTGCAGCTCTCCCTACAATTTTCATGCAGGGAAGATAGACATTAAATGGTGACAAAAATATGACAACAACTAAATCTCACTGACTTTAATGTGTTTTCACATATAAATATTTGTTGTGTTTTTGTACACAATCGTTTGTTAAAATTTCAGTAGGAATCTGCTTAAAATTCATTTACCCTTCTTCTTCCTCCTTGTCGACAGTGAGAAGATTGTGTGTACAGTCGACCTGTAAAGTCATCCTCATTCAACCAATGATATAATGCTATGTCTGCGCTAAGAGGCAGCCTTTCTTCAATTTGACACTGTAAATATTGTCTGCAAGATGGCAGTCCTACATCAAATGTATATAACAACATTAATGTAACTGCAAGTGCTTTGCTAATCTTACTGCTCAGTCAGTGCCATAAGTGATAATACCAAATGAGTTGCATGAATTAGCATGGTAAATCATTATTTAAAATAAGCATTTAAATAACACTGCACATCCTTTTAAAGGAGGCGGAGAGCAATGGCTCCTACTTTCTAAAAATTATGAGCAATTATAAAAAAAATTTCTGAATGGAAAAAGAAATAACTATAAAAACTATAATCCTTAATATCTAGAAGGGCTGAATAGAATAATAGCTTTAAAAGAATTCTGAAAATGTGAAAGTTTAAAGTTAATATGTTAAGGATGATAAAGTAGCAAAGCCAATGTGTGAGATAATAAATAGGGCTGTACCGAATAGTGATTTTCACTATTCGGCCGATAGGAATAGTGGGACCAACTATTCGGCCGAATACGAACAGTGAATCATCATCATCAGGTGCCTTGTTGACTGGCATGGACGATCATGCCTCTCCACAATCTGCTATCTCCTGCAGCATGTAACAGTTCGTGTGCTGACACACCTCCATGTCATGCAACAAGACTGTCAAAAATCTTCTTTCGTTGTCTTCCTCTATCCCTCCTTCCACAGATCTTTCCAGTGGTCACCAAATGTTCTATTTTCCCTCTCCTCATAACACGGCTGAAAAATGACGACTGTCTTCTTCTGATGTCTGTGATTAGTTGTCTTCGGGCTCCCATCTCTTTCAAAACCATCGTTCGCTCGGCCGTTCGTTCGATGTAATTTAAACGCACATTTATATATTCTCGTTAGCAATATCTTAAAATCTGATTTGGGCGAAGACACCCTGAAAGAACTTAAAATGCATGATATCTCTCTCTCTCTCTCTCTCTCCCTCTCACACACACACACCGCGGTTGGCATTTTATGCAGTATGCACCACGCAACCGGGTCGCAGTTTCCCCTGCTATGACAGACTTATGCAACAGCAACTATTGTGTTAATGAAAGAGTTATTTCAGTCCATCACAGTGTATGCAGAAACGGGAGTAAGGTAACCACTATTCGTATTCGGCCCGACTGCAACTGAGGTCCCAGAAACCCTGTTCAACTGTTATGCCATATTTATGGCCATGCTATATTTACGGCCACTGGCAAAAGCCAATATAATAAAGTCAAAATAACTAGAATTTGCATCCCACATGGGGACGACGCCAATTGCCTGGATATTTTATGAGGACAAGCTAACTTGAAAACTTAGGGTCAATTGGCAAAACAGATCTAAGGCATCACAAATAGATAACACTTGAATGGCTTGGTCAGAAGACATGAGGACTGATAACACACATTCATCAATGATTCAGGTGATCATGCGAGATGGCAACCCATAACCGCCTAAATTTATTGGCATGACACATCGAAAAAGTTAATTACCTCAGTCTCTTCATTGTGCTCACTGTTCCATGAACGCATATTATAGCTTGCCTTGGCTGAAAGCTGTTGAAATACACATTATAATTTACTGATCTACCTAATACTTACAGAAGTAAAGACTGATTGGTACTTATGCTTCATAGACTATACAAAAGCATTTGACTGTGTGAAGCATAAAGAAGTAATCAAACTGTTAAAAAAATTAAACTGATGGAAAAGATCTATGAATAATAAAGAATATGTATTGGTTGCAAACAGCAGCTATAAGAATTAGAAACTGTTAAGGAACATTTCAAAGCATAAAGAAGAGCATACAACAAGGATGTGTACTGTCACCTGTTTGTTTTAACTATACGGTGAATATATAATGAGATCTTTAATTGATATACCCGGAATTGTGGTTGGTGGGCACAATATAAAACAATTTATGTTATGCTGATGACACAGTCTTGATAGCAACAAGTCAGAAAGAACTACAGGAAATGATAGACATTGTGGTGTCAGAAAGTGGAAGAATGAGCCTCAGTTTGAATAATGGGAAGACAGAAGTAATTTTGGTATCAAAGAAAGGAATTATTCCTAAATATGTAATAAAAGTTGATGGTGTTATTTTGGGACAAGTACAGAAATTTAAGTATCTGGGCACATGGATAACATCAGATGGAAGATGCGTAACTGAGATAAGAAACAGAATAGGACAGGCAAAAACTGCATTTTATAAAATGAAGAACATCCTGTGCAATATATCCTTGTCATTGAGAGTTAGAAAAATAATTCTTGCTTGCTACATACATCCAGTTTTAACATATGGCTGTGAATCCTAGACAATCGGTAGGCAGGCCAAACAATTCCTTGAGGCCTCAGTGATGAGGTTTTACAGAAGAATGCTTAAAATACCTTGGACAGCCAAAAAGAGCAACCAAGAGGTTTTGAAAGAGGTGGGAGCCCGAAGACAACTTATCACAAACACAAGAATGAGACAGACATCATTCTTCAGCCATGTTATGAGAAGAGGAAAAATAGAACGTGTTATGACCACTGGAAAGATCTGTGGGAAGAGGGATAGAGGAAGACAACGAGAGAAGATTCTTGACAGTCTTGCTGCATGGCATGGAGGTGTGTCAGCACACAAACTGATACATGCTGCAGGAGATCGCAGATTGTGAAGAGGCATGATCGAACACGCCAGTCTAATGCTGTTAATGTCTATTTTTATGGTGTTAAAATATCCGACAGAACTAACTGGAATGTGTGTCAAGATTTATTGAGTATGTGATGAGGAGTTACTGCAGTGCTCCTCCTTTCATCTGAATCAGAGCATTTTATTACAATTACATAAATCCTTGTATGGAACTGTGCACTTAACAGTTCCAACAAAACAATGTTTACGTGCTTGTCCAAGATAAGAAGATACAAGCTAGGCAGAGGGAGCAGTTTTGCTCAAAAATGTTGTGTGAGTGTAAGGTAGTAGGTAGTGTTTCTTTTATGACTCAGCATGCATTGTGCCTAATAACCATGTACCGCATTATTGGCGTGGTAAAGTACAGAATTAGATTACTATCATGTTTCCAACAATTTTATTTCTTCTTCTTCGTGTTCACTGGCTGTAAACTCTAGCAAAAAGTTCTGATTGTTCATCCACTCCTGGACTTTAATGTTTTTCCTTCTTCATCTTCATCGTGTTCACTGGCTGTAAACTCCAGCAAAAAGTTCTGATTGTTCATCCACTCCTGGACTTTAATGTTTTTCCTTCTTCATCTTCATTGTGTTCACTGACCGTGAACTCCAGCAAAAAGTTCTGATTGTTCATCCACTCCTGGACTTTAATGTTTTTCCTTCTTCATCTTCATTGTGTTCACTGGCTGTAAACTCCAGCAACAAGTTATGATGGTTTTCGTTTACTTCTGGATTGGAGTCTTGTTCCAGAAGCTGCATGTTGAATGCACATTCATTTTACACATCTGGCTTTTTTGTTTGCAGATTCTGGATTCCTTGCCTCTCAGGCAGAGGTAATGCCACTTCGAAGGATGACCTCAATTAGTTGACTCCTACAACATGCATGTTGAGGTGGCAGTTGGTCTATTTGTGTTTTCCCTACAATGGGGCCCTGGAACTCACACAAGGAGTCTTGTTTCAGAATCTGAAATTTTGTGTGCACATCTGTTTAACAGATCTTGCTTATTTCAATGCAGACAGTTGGTTCCTCAAATCTCAGGCAAATGACTCCCCTAATTAGCTGACTCTCCCGATATGCTTGTTAGGGAGCAGTGGTATTCTACTATTCATTTATATATATATATATTTTTTTTTTTAAAATTATTCTACACAATTTTAAAACAATGGTTAAAAATTGCCTAAAGCACCAGGCTCACAAATTTTTGCTTACAGCCACTACTAAAAATCATGCTTTGTTTAGATTTTACCTTGCTTCACTCAAACCGGAAAATGTTTCCTACAATTACTGTAACATATACCCCACAATGTTACTATACACCACAATGTTTTATACCTCACAATGTTATTATACACCACAATGTTTTATACCTCACAATGTTTTTATACACCACAATGTTTTATACCTCACAATGTTGTTATACACCACAATGTTTTATACCCCACAATGTTACTATACACCACAATGTTTTATACCTCACAATGTTTTATACCTCACAATGTTTTATACCTCACAATGTTTTATACATCATAAAGTTATATATTCCACCGTACAATAATGCTATGTTTTTAACAGCACCACAACCCACCTTCTGTGGACTGCTAGCAAAGATCCTCTTCTGCACGTCTGAGGCTTGAGGCAAGGATTTCTTCGACTTGAAAAACTTCCACTCAATAACTGCAGGACTAGACGACTTTTGACTTTCTCCTTCCAAGCTCTTCTGACTGTTTGAGGTCTCCTGTGACTGTGAAGATGGCTCTGAGAATGATACCATATCTAGAACACTCACAGATTCAGAGTCTATACCTTGTTCCAAATGACGTGGTGCTGCATGCAACTCTGTCACTGAAGAAATATCAATATGCTGATAATTTATAGTTTCTATTGTACATTTCACAACAGGAGTGCATCCTGCTGAATCTGATGCCTTTGATGAAGATGAAGATGCTGGTGAAGTCACCATGTTTATCCCTAGCTGGTGTCATAACTTGTTGAATCACCACTGGCATTATGACTAGCTGCCTGTCTGGCAGAGGTGAATCTTCCTCTCTGAAAAAACGGTGGCTGGAGTTTCTCTTTGATTTTAGCTGTCCGAGATTTGAAAATTCTATACTGCTTTCCTACAGTCTTTGCGACACATTAACAACGTAACTGTCATTATGTGGAAAGTGATATCTGTGTAATCTGAACAGTGGAATCTGCACCATATATGCCTGCTTTGGTTCTACACTTTGAAGATGCTGGTGACATGGGGTTGCTGCAATTAGATTGTGAGGGTGATAATCGCTGTGATGAATGATTTCCCATAAAAAGAACATTCTGGGATTGAGTACTTTGTATTGGAAGTTCTTCATTAACGGCCGTCCCTGAACAGAGAGAATCATTGCTAACATTTGTTAACAGAATTTCCTGAGTTGACATTCCTTTTGATGAACTTTCTTCCATAAATAGAATACTCAGGGGTTTAAGATCTGTTGCTGGAGTTGTCTCTTCTGCAATGAATGTGGCTGAGGGGACGGAATTGTTGTTAGCATTTGCTGATGAATCTTCCCGAAATGGGTCTGAGATTGCTTTACTGAAAGTCACTTTTGAGTGTCTAGGGGAATACTTTGTCCGTCCTTTGCAAAGGGGTTGAATACTTGTTGAAGCTACCTCTTCTGCAATGAAAGTGGCGGAGGGTACAGAATCACTACTAGCATTTTGTGATGAATCTTCCTGAGAATGTGTCTGCGACTGCCTTCGCTGAAAGGTCACTTTTGAGTGTCTAGGGGAATACCTTGTCCGTCTTTTGCAAATAGGTTGAATACTTGTTGAAGCTACCTCTTCTGCAATGAATGTAGCTGGGAGGACAGAATCACTGCTAGCATTTGGTGATGAATCTTCCTGGAGGTGGTCTGAGATTGATTCACTAAAAGTCACTTTTGAGTTTTTAAGGGAATACTTCGTCTGTCTTTACAAATGTGGTTGAATAACTGTTGAAGCTACCTCTTCTGCACTGATGTAGCTGGGGGGACAGAATCACTGCTAGCACTTTGTGATGAATCTTCCTGGAGTTGGTCTGAGATTGCTTCACTAAAAGTCACTTTTGAGTGTCTAGGGGAATACTTCATCTGTCTTTTGCAAAGGGGTTGAATACTTGTTGAAGCTACCTCTTCTGCAATAATGGTGGCGGAGGGTACAGAATCACTACTAGCATTTTGTGATGAATCTTCCTGAGATGTGTCCGCGACTGCTTCGCTGAAGGTCACTTTTGAGTGCCTAGTGGAATACTTTGCCCGTCTATTGCAAAGGGGTTGAATACTTGTTGAAGCTACCTCTTCTGCAATGAATGTAGCTGGGAGGACAGAATCACTGCTAGCATTTGGTGATGAATCTTCCTGGAGGTGGTCTGAGACTGCTTCACTAAAAGTCACTTTGAGTTTTCT